CTCTTTCCGCTGTTGACGGGGATCTCCAAGCCCCCGCTCTCGTCAAACTGTTGCAACAGGTTTGCGACATTAGCTGCCATGCGGAAATCATTCAGCCATTCGTTTAAATCTTTCGATTTCCCGCTGAACGGAGGAGAAGTGTACCGCCCACTTCGATACCCCGTCGCTGGGGTTGCGGCTCCGTATCCAAAGCCAACAGCAGCACCACCACCTCCCATGGCACAACTATAATCTTGGTTGTGAGCAGCGTCTACTCTCACCTCTTGGGGGACAAAGCCCCCTGCTTCGCCGCTGTGTCCCCCTGACGGGCCAGACTCTCGAACAGGTTCGCGCAGGTACCTTCCGTCCTGCGCACTCCCGGTCCACGGTGCCCCTCCTTTGGCGTTCGTGGACTCCGCGGCGGCGCTCTCCCTAGCATCGCCGCGATCAGCGGCACCCTCCATAGCGCCAGCTGGCTCCTCCTTCTTGCTTGCCTTCACGGTATCTTCCACTAGCGACATGAGCTGGCTCATCTGATCCGTCAGCGAGCTAGCTTGCGTCCTCAGGGCCACGAGCTCTTCTCTTGACCTCCTTTTGCCTTCCGCCGCAGAGTCGCTGGAGGAGTCACCCCCATCTTTGCGACCTGACNAGCGCCAGCTGGCTCCTCCTTCTTGCTTGCCTTCACGGTATCTTCCACTAGCGACATGAGCTGGCTCATCTGATCCGTCAGCGAGCTAGCTTGCGTCCTCAGGGCCACGAGCTCTTCTCTTGACCTCCTTTTGCCTTCCGCCGCAGAGTCGCTGGAGGAGTCACCCCCATCTTTGCGACCTGACATTCCTATTAGACTCTCCCTCGAGGGACTGACACTCGTGTGTTCGTATATGGAAGGGGAAGAAGTTTTATCTCTTGTATTAGACACGCAAGGGGGGTGGGGAGAAGTGAAGTCCTCTCTGGAGTTCGAGGGGTCCCCGCACATGCAATTATTTCAAGGTGTACATAAGCCCCATCTGCGTGCCCTCTGTTGTTGCCGGTTGATCTAACCAGTCCGTAACCAAACACACGAACAGCCCCTTCATACCACACAACGAAAACACTGGCCAGAGCTTGTTTCTCCACACTCACATTACCCCATGGCATCTGTCCTGGTACCAGAAAGATCCTGGGTAGAGCTACCTTCCTCGGAGTGGCAGAGTGGCATTGCTGTTGCTGCTGCTTCTTCATTCGAAAATGCATCGCTGGAAAACCAAACGATGAGCACATGACCCCCGCGACTTGAACCAGACGCTCGCTCACGTGGGTATTTTAGGGTCAACCAAAACGTTTCTCCCGACGCGCACGTTACCCCACGGCACCAAACCTTGGGCATGTAAGATGGAGCAGAGAGCCCCCTCCCGCCGAGTCGCCTTGCTGTTGCTGTCGCTTCCTTCTTCGGAAAGTAATTGTTGGAAAATCAAGCAAAGAAATCAACAACACCCACACAAGGATAAAAAAACACGCCCAACTCATCTATCCATGCATTCGCACTATGCACAGCCTGAATGTATCTTGACTGCATCTGCTGCTGTACATACTGCAATGAAATCGAGCGACGCACAACAAAAGGAATGAATGAGGTAAGCCGGAGAAGTTTGTGGTCGATGACACAGACAGACAGGCAGATGCATACTGCATGCCACGTGTAGGACACCACGCACTAGGGATGTACAGAACAATGACGCCGAAGATTGTCGCCTGGGTCGTTTCCAAGGCGGTGATATGTCGCCCATGTGTACCTTGCTCGCACTCGTAAAAGCGCAAGAGAAACTTGAGGGTTGTGGAAGTGAATAATCGGGTCATGCGGCGTGGTACCATACACCATCATTTTGTTTGATACACTCCCCTTGACCAGCAGAGTCCCCGAAGAAATTGGGCTGGTATTGCACTACACTTACTTGCTGGCGTATTCCCCCCCCCTCCCCCGTGCCCCTGTCGCACATTGCGCTGCGCTTTCTGGGGAGGGCTGAGAAGGGGAGGGGGGATCGACGAACACAACGACAGCAAGGCCGACTGGTTGGGCTTATCCGCATGCGTTTTGACCTGAATTGGAAACATGCGGCCTCACGATACGGTGGAAACACAGCTGAAGCGCTAGACCACAATACAACCGTAAGCGATGCTCCCAAAGTACAATATCCACAATCCACTACGGTTCACTAGGTACGGCCGGGGGCATGACCCAACAATTCACAGGGAAACATATCACACCCTTATCTGAACATTAACCAACAACGTTAAACGTGGCCGGCTGAGAAGTGATGAATGCGACGCAGGTAGTCCCTACAGCAGTCCGGAAGGACAAAGATTGACCAACATGACCAAGCACGTGCCCTTTCGTTCTTGCGATAAATAATGTGTAGACGAATCTACGTTCCTTGTTCTATGGATATCTATCTTGCGAAGCATGATGCCTCACGCTCACATTGTCTACGGGCGAAACGTTCACCAAACGCTGGCCAAGCACATGATAGGGCACGACAAGCTGGCCCTCTCTCTAGGACTCGACCGCAGGCACGTTGTTCTTCCTGGCTACCCTCACGCACTCCAATGACGTCACGCGGAATTCTCCCGCAGTCATTTGCTTCGTCCTGGTCCGCCCCAAGTGCGAGCAGGACCCTATCGTGGCAGGATCGGAATAGCTTGCCGCGAAATGTAGGATGACGGTTGCCATCAAACGCAACCCAGTCAACCCTTTCCAGGGTCCTAAATTCTCTTCTCCCCACCTTAGTAGACTAGTGGTTGAAGGATGCCTGCCCGCCTATGCGCCACGGCTTCCACGATCGCATCATGCATCACAGGGCCGTAGAGTGCCTCCATCCCTTCGTCCAGCAGAATATGGAGGACGCCACCGTGACCCATTTCTATCGCTGCCACCAGCGGGCACTTGATTTGTTCGTGCGTTAGCGCCGGCTGAGACGCTCTCGCCGACAAGAGGCAGCTGACCGAGTCCCGCATTGCCGACGTGCGCTGCGGCACAAAGCGGAGTTTTTCCTTCCCAATCAACATGAGCGTTTCAGGCGCAGCAGATACGAGGAGATCGATCAGATCCATATCGTCGCTGTCCATCGCAGCGTAGTGAAGCGCAATATGTCCAGCCATGTCAACAAAAGTGACGTCAGCTCCTGCCCCAAGCAGCTCTCGCCCGACATCGGCAAGTTGAGGTGAAGAAGATTCGATGGCGCAGAATCGGCATGAAGCCGATAGCGGCGTGCTTCCGTATGCATCGTGGTGTTGACCGTAGCACCTGACTGAAGAAGCAGGCCGATGATATGTTTATCACAGCGCCGAGCGGCGACATTAAGTGGTCGGCATCCCTCGGCAAAGGCGACTACTCCGACGTCTGCCTTGACATGTTTCGGACCACCGGCATCGACATTGGCTATTTCTCGAGAAGCAGGTTGACCATGCTGGCTTTTGGTTGAAAAGTACCGCATAGATGTTATCGGGGAAGCTAACGGCAGGGGACGGCCGTCCACGCTTGCTCCTGCTGCAAGAGCGGCCTTTGTCCCTTTCTTGTGACCTTCTTCCACACAGGTAATAGCAAGAGAGCCAGTTGCTGTTCTCCCGGCGGTCCATACGGGAATACGGGAATGGACAAGGGATCAGGGATCGCCAATGGTCGCTCTAGGAACGTCTTGCACTAGCAGCACGGGAATACGGATGATGGCTTTCAACGTACCATCACAACGTCAGATTGCGATAACGTTAACTCGTGTACCTATCCCCCGTGGTACGGTTGGTGCCACCAAACACCAACCCGCATGCTGATGCGGCGGGAGAGTGTCGGAAATGGTTGTTGTTGTTGTTGTTGTTGACTTCGCATTAAACCGTATGCCAGTTGCTAAATGCCAAAATCTAGCAAAGACTCTCGGCCCGTGGTCACGAAAGTGCTGGAGCCATCTGAGGATCTAAAGAACACGCACACGTAGCAAGAAAAAGGTGTACAAGAGCCCGAAGAGGTACTACTACACCTATATATAATCCCTGCAGCACCGTACGCGTGCCCAAAACTGAACTACACGTCCGTCTCACCGTTCGACTAATGGTGGGTCACCATGTTTCAGGCGGCGTTGTTACTTTGTCATAACTGGGGGATGGTGGGGTTGTGTCCCCGGTTTTCGTACTACAAACGATCTTGAGCTCTTTGCTCACGGGCTCACGGGTGGGTAGCAGCAGAACACACGCAAACAGGCTAAACACGTTAGATAACTTGTAAACCATGACATGAGAGCCGTGGGGGAAAGGGCACAGAACGAATACGCAGTGAGGAAAACACGAGACAAGCGTGCACACGAACTCAAGGTGAAAAATGAGCGAGCAGCCAACTCGGGCCACCAATTTTTTTCCGGCCGGCGAGTTCGGCAGCGATGCGGTTGCCGGGACCGTAGACAGGCAGCAGATAGAACGACGCTCACAAAAATACAACGAAACGAGTGATGCGCCACAGATTTCATAGCGCATATTCAATGAAGGATCCATCTCTGCGCGTTCCATTCTTCGAAATAAAGGAGGACATACACATACATTGTACCCGTTCGAGAAAATACCCCAACCGACCGGAAATGTTGGACTATAAAATCCCTGTAAGAAAGCACGAAGTATAGTGTGTTGTTGGTTCGGTTGGGTGAGTCACAAGTCTACACAGGAGGTGAGTGTATTGTAGAATAAGACCTGCCAGATACTGGGCTCACATTGCATCTATTGAAGCATACACTGAATCCCATTCCGTAATATGGTAAAGGAAATAAAATGGCATGCAGACAGACAAGTCTAACCCTGAACTCTGAGAGGTGACACCACAAGTTTTCAATTTAAAGTAAGCAATTTTGGCCGCAGGGTTTGCAGCGTGGTTCGCCCCCAAAGGCATTGAATTGTCCCGCCGGTATATGTGCTGCCTAGGACTCATGCAGCCAAGTTGCAAGCCTAACCTTGAGAGTTGGGGGAGTTCAATTCGGGCTTGGCCAGTGCTTCATGAAGCGTTGCATGTGGCATAAAGGGACCAATGAAGAGTCCCATGTCCAATTTCACTTCCAGCACAATCCAGAGGAATAGCGGAGTAACATTTCCCGTTGCTCGCTGTGGCTGTCATCTGTTCAAATACATACTTTGATCAGGCGCTGGAGAGTTTAAGGGGAAAATTGCAAGTTGTCCGCGAATCACTGTACGAAATTCCACAACTTCACATGTCACGGCCAGCCATCGATCTCACACACGACCTCTCCAATCTCACACCACACTTATCAACTCAGAAAACAATCCTACCCCCCTCTTCTACCACCTCCTCCCCATCACTGCTATCACTGCTGGTACCGGCATCCGCCCCCGTTCCAGCGAACCCCATCGCCGATGGTGGCGCGATGGTGGACTTGCGGGGAGGGGCTGCGGGAGAAGCCCCACCCCCCCCGGGCAACGCTTTGGGATTCGGGTGTCGGGCAGTGGCGGAGAAGGCGGCGGGGGGTTGCTGCAGGGAAGAAAGACTGCCCGGTAGGCTGTGGGCGGACGAAGGTGCAGACATGGATGCTGCCAGCGCCGAGACTCTGAGGAAGTTGGGACAGGGACAGCACGTCAAGCATCGAGAGGATCGAACAAGAACGCCATCAGAACATGCAAAACCAGCGGGACGCAAGTCTCGGGAAGTTCTACCGCGAGTTTCTCGCACACTCGCCAAAACATGATGAGGTTTGCTGTTACTTCATCCGGTTAAGGAGGCCAGGGAGGAGGCCATTGCCGCCAGATTCCGAAAAATCTGGAGTATCCTCCCAGTGGAAGGGCAGAGGGCCTAGATTCATAGCTAAACATCGCGGTAGACAGAGGTTTGGGCCTCCGGCCTCACCACAGCGCCACCCGAAGACAACGCCCATTTTCGAACCCGAACCCTAACAAAACCACTGCTGCGCTCAATAGAACCGTTCCCGTGCTAACCTTGCGGCAAATGAAAGGTAGCCGGCAACAGCAAGCAGCAACACGGCAACACGGTCATGTCCGTCCTCGAAACGTACCTGGCCTGAGAGGCGCTGCTCATCCCGCCTTGGGACGGTGAACGCCTTCCGCCCGTCCCCGCCTTCGTCTTCTTCTTGGCGACAGGTTTGCCGCCACCTGGAGAATGTGTCGGTAACGCGGACAAGGGTGGGGAGGAGGCAGCACGAGAGAGATCAGAACAACCGACTCGAGAGTCAACTCAACAACGAAGTTCGTCTTTTGGCTTCGAAGAAAACAACAATCCAACCGATAACTCTCATGCCATACAAGCAACGAAGCAACGCACTCTGCACCGCACTCCCGTTTGTCGCGTATTCTGCCGCCAGTGCATCAGACGTAGGAGCAATGGTGGCGGCAGACGTAGGAACGATGGTGGCGGCGTCTTCCACTCTACAAGCACAAACCCACAATAGTGAAGAGGACAAACGAACATGGGGTGGCGAATCTGCAAGGCCAATAGTATGCACAAACAGCACGCCGTGCAACAAGGCCTTTCACGCGTCGTCTTGGCATGTCAATCACGACCTCTGCCTACCAACAACTTTGTGGCGAACAGCCTCCTCGTACATCACGAAGCCGCAATCCGAACCGCAGGAGAAAGATGGATACACACGCAATCCATCGCAATATTCTTAGCGAAAAGGTGACAGTGGCGTTTATCCCCATCTGGTCTACGTTACTTTAATTCTACTTTGTTTCCCCTTTTGTTCTCACCTATCGCACCGCGGCCTCCAGACCCGCCTGATCCGCCCGTCTTCAACTTTTTTCTAGGCGCCTATCAAAGCATAACGTAGAGATAAGATATGATCAGCAAGGCCAAGGGCGGGATGAAATCGTGGACTAGATTGGCAATGATGGCCTCGTCGCCCGTCCACGCAACAGCAGAAATACCATCCATACGAGAACACGATGTGCACCACAGATTCGACAAAGGCTTGGCGCACATTTATCACTAATGTCACCCGAGAGGCACTGAGCACCGAAAACGGGTCCCAGGCATACGTCTTTGTGGAACTTGGACGCCATGCACGTAGACTCGGGTATTGTGGAGGGAGGATTTCGCATGGCGACCTTGGTGGAAAATATTAGTACACAAGAGATATCGTTTTCGGCGAAGCCCAACCAGCGGCAGAAACACAATACTGCAATCTCGCAAATCATCACTTGTTCATCAGGGGCTCGCCGCTTAGGTATTCAACTTCTAAAAAAAACGTGGACTAAGTGAACGACTCGATACAACGTACAGACCAAGTGGTTGAGCACTGTGTGGGTTTGCTACGCAGAAAAGCCTGGCTATTGAAGCTAACGCGGCCGAATGGAAAATGTGGCCTGCAGCAACGCACACACACCCTCGTTGTCGGCCGCATCGACTGTGTTCAATTCCGTCTCTCACCGGGTGCTCGGCGGTGAGCGCCTCCTCTACCTCCGCGATCTCAGGATCCTCCAGCTGGGCCTGGCAGTCCGCCATGATGTCACGAGCGTTCTGGGACAACATGGACCAGATCCACGGGATACGGGGACAGGATCCAGGGGGTGCACGGACAGAATACAGGGGGTACGCGGACAGGGAAAGTAGACGTGCTAGATTAACATTGGATGCTGTGCTTGGTCTTTGCGTTTGGACGGGCTTTAATTGGTCACGTCGGTTATTGCGGGACAACCTCTGACGGCGCTCCGCAGATGCGGTCATTCGTCACACCACAGAACTCCAAGAGACGTGTAAAATGTGAGAATACCCAGATCGAGGTGCTAGCCGCATAATGAGCAGGGCACACTAAACCATCAGTGTCATGTACTGTCATGAGCATGCCACACAGACGCTTCCGAAAAACACCCCACCAGTGTCCATTTCGATATTTTGCGCTGACGTGTCTCATGTACGCGCTACAAAATACGGTTCCTGGCTGCTGAAGACAGAAATAGGATGGCATAGGGCACAGAAATGCAAGGCGGGAGCTCCAGATGAGCACCAGCAGGGAAGCTGGAACGTCACTGACTTCAACCTGCTCTCCGGAAGATGACAGGGTGGGAAAGACAGATCGCATCCGCAGCTGTCCGTACGACATCGCTCTATTGACACAAACATTACACACATTGTGCTACACAGAAACACCAAAATCGTTCGTTATTGCACACACAATCAAGTGACACGATGTGGAAACCTACGACTGCGCTGCAATAACGAGCAGGCCACATACACAGATGTCTAAAACAGGCGGCACTTGATCTTGCCGCAGCCATCGAAAATACCTGGGCGAGGACATGGCCGTGTCCGTTGTAGATCTCGGCGTTGGTCACGAGCTGCCGCATGTCAGCGATCAGGTTTTCGCGGCTGGTGTAGCTGTAGTGCGGAGTGACCGGCCACAACCGCGAAGAGCACCGCCATCCAAAACGTTCGCCGTCGGATAAAAATCATCGCCAACCGCGTAGAGATGGAAAGGAAACAGCGTCCCGCGAACATCGAACAGCAAAAAACATCCACCAAGCAATAGCCGTGATTGTTGATGTTCCAACTGTCACTTGACCCGCAACTAAAGGGGGTTGAATCGTTGGGGAAACCTACACAACAGGCGTTTCGTGATGGAACGCAACTTGGGCTTGGACCTTGAACAATCGAGACTTTGAGGCCCCGCGGTACCTGAAGAAGAAAACCAAATAAACGAAAGTATGCGCTACATGGCTTCGAGGAGACCGGGCACCGTACCAACTACGAATCGGTTTCCTTTAAGACCAAACACGACCTGGGGCGTGGCGAAGTGCTCGAGGTTTCCAACACAAAATCCGGGGCGCAATTCGTGACATCGGGTGACCGAAACGCTGATAACATCGAAATGGGCAAGCGAAAAGAATGCAACGCTAGCGAGGCGAGGAAATATGTAAATAAACTTGTGTCGGGTAGGAAAAACTGTTGCCAACTCACTACAGAAACTCCGACCTGCACTGGATGGAATATCAAAATGAGTGAAACTAAACGTCAATTCTCATTGCACCCCATGTTGATTTTGTTGTTTGGAATCGCGGGAGAATAATAGAGACAGTAAATCTCCCACGAAGCACCAGCGTCGTTGAGCAATCCACTAACTACTGTGACCGACAATAACGTCCACATCCTTTGTGCCCCCCACCCTGACCATTTTCATGTTTTCCTTCTGTCACCAGGCGAAGCGTTTCATCTTGGTACAACAGAAACGCGAGAGGAACAGAAACGAAAATGAGTGAAACCAGCATCTCGGCAGCAGAAGGAGTAGAGTACCGGCAGCGAAGGCGGTAATCTTCAACAATAATGTACTCCTCTCTTATCTACAAACTATGCATTCGAAGCGGCACAGCAGATCAGTCAAACCAACGGGTCTCACTCGAAGTTGTTGATCTTGTCCTGGATGGTGCGGAGGTCCATGGGCTTCTTGATCTTGGTGTAGTAGTCGGGGACGTTACGCTTCACCGGTGCTCGGAAGTAGATCGAGTCCGGCCTCTCGAAAAGATTCTTGACCACACCTCTGAACTCATCGCCAGACCATGACCCATATCCAGCGGAAATGCCCATGGCCGTTGTCGGGGGTGGCGCCACATCCGTATCCATATCCATATTCATATCCAGGCCCACGGTTAGTCCCGGTACACGGTGCGGTAGCATCCAGGAGGAGAGGGATTCAGAGGACATGCCAGACGTGCCATACGCATCACACGGTCAGTCAGTCTCTCACCACTGAAATGCACCACAAGAACATCAAACAACTGCCACCCAAGGAATACGAAGTACTTCGTAGTACACCGCAAGAGGATACGATCGACCAACCATGTGCAATACTGCAAAACAACAGAAGTCCTCCATGCCTCGCGCAAAGTGCATGTAAACAGCTCGCGGCATGATTCCAACGGGAAATGATATCATAACCATGCAGAACCACCAAACACGACAAACCTACCAAAGCAGGGCACAAAACAAAACCACCAACAAAGGCGGCTCTTGTAACACATTCCTACAAAAACTTTCTCACGTGAGAAGGCTCCGCATCCGGTTCCTCGGACGGCTGTCGCGACTTTCCACCGTTGAGCGTGAGTTCTGCCTCTGGATCGCGTAGATGTTCTCCTCAGGCTTTCGCACTCGGCCCTACGTGTGAGCGTGTAGGAGAGTGCAGAGAAACCAGTTAGCTTTGGTGTTGTTCGTGCTTCGTGTGCGGTGATCCCTGAGGCGAAGGTAGCGTACAATAGCACCGATGAAGGTTACCAGAACACAGCAGCAACACAGACGTGTTGTGCGAGGTATAGGGGCGGGCAGGTCAGTGCGTTGGTCGGGATCGTTGCAAACAAAAAAACAACAACTCGCAACGCGAGAAAATGCGGCATGAGTTCCGAACTTCCTCTCCGGGAGGCGACGAGAAGAAGACAGAGGGGGGGGGGGGGGGGG